TCGTTAGCTACACATAGGAAAAAGCGGAAATCGATTTCGAGTTCGGATGAGTTCGTACGGGACCGAAGCGTAAAATCGAGAGAGTTGCCAACACCTTGGAAGTTAAAAATCCTTAGATAATTGTATTCTGTGAGAAATTTGTATTGGCATGCATCATTGAATAGAGTGGTTCGTTAGCAACGCGTAGAAAAAAACAAAACTCAATTCTGAGTTCGAACGAGCCCAAAACGAGCACGAGAAGCGAAGCCGCCCGAGACGTGCGCGAATGCGCGCGGAAAAATCACTCTCGGATTTTGTCCGAAAATTCTAACTTTTCTCTCAAATTTCCTATCTTCTTTCACCTTTTCTTACATATTTTCTTTCTCATTTTTCCTATCTTCTTTCCCACATTTTTCTTTTCTTATATTACAAGTTTTCTATTTTTTTTCCTATAAATACTCTCTTCTCTTTCACTTATTGGACAAATTCACTTTTTCATAGCTATAACCTTCTCTTTTCTTTGTAATATTTTCAAGAGTGTTCTTAGTGTTCTTGATATTTTTCAAGTTTGATCTTTCCATGCAAGCTCGGTTTTAATTTTGTAAGTTGTTTATTTTCATTTCCCTAAAAGTTCTAAGTGATATATTGACGTCAAGTTTTAATCGTAATCGTAAGTTATTGTTCGAAAGTTTTTATGAGTAAAACCATAGCTTGGATTATTCTTATTATTTGTGTCAATAAAATCATGACAAACTAAACTCTTCGTTAGGGATAGGGAAATGATTGTGTCAGTTCGATGATGATGACGAATTGTTGATAGTTCCTATTATTTTGAGTTATATTTATTTTTATGATTTAAGTAGAATTAAACATTCTTTTAAATCTACTTAATCGACTTTTAACCCGAAAATGGCAAAGTTGATTGATCACGGCTCGAAATAAATAAGTTTACACGTAACTGTATTGCTTATATGTTAAGTGGTAATTAAATACATTGATTTATGTTTATATTCTTACTCGTAACTGAATGGAATATGAACCTCTAAATTAGTGTGTTTATCGAATCATTTAACCGTACGATTAACAATTCAAAGTTATCAATAGAATTGATACAATTATTTTCCAATTCCCTAACACTTTCCTCATCTTTATTCTTTTTACCTATATACCATTTTTATTATTTTACTGTTGTTTATTCACTGTTCTTTTCATTTTATGTTTGTTAAATTAAATTAAGAATTTTAGTTAATTATAAAACCAGATCAAAATGGATTAGAATGTTTAGGTTTATTTTCTCATTTTTGTATTTAGACAATTAAATAAAAAACAAAGCTCCGAACGACCTTCCTTGAGATCGACCCGAGGTCGGGTAACTCGGTTACCAAATACCCACAAAAATCCTACCAACAAGGCCCCCTCCTCCAGCAGCTTCGGTATGTCTGTCAAATACGCCGTCAGTGTTTAGTTTAACCCAAGGGGGCTTGGGTTTCAGCCAAACAACGGTCCTAGGTCGTGGGTGCTGGATAGGGAAAGAAGGTGGTGGTCTCCAGCGATGGGGCGGTGTACAACCTGTCCAGTCTCTCGTCGTGAGTCTGCCCTGGGCGGTGAGGAGTGAGAGGTGTCTGTCAACCTGCAAAATGATGTGAGCACAAGAAAAAATAATATCCCTATGCTTCGCATTATTCCTTTCTGTCCAGGTGCCCCATATGATCAGACAAGGAATAAGGAAGCCTACGTGTCTATTGTCTGTGCGGTGTGAGAAAAAACTCAGGAGCTCAAAAAAATTGTCTGTAGTGGGTAGGGGTATATGAGTATATCTGGCATAGTGCTCCCACACTCTCCTCACAATCTCACTCTCAAGGAAAAGATCGGTAAAAGTCTCGATCTCAAAGGTACCGGTCTCAACACAACAATGGCAACGAAAGGGGAAGGAGAACCCCCTCGCCTGCATCACAGTGTCAATGGGAATGCGTCGTAATATGAGGCGCCACAAAAATACGGAAATGGTCGGGGTGAGAAGGTCGATCCAGATAGCCCCGAAGAGTAGATTAGTTCGGTTACCCAGCCTCACATCTCCCCAGGCCGAGGACGTAGAGAATGCACCCAAAGATGTAAGTCTCCATCTCATGCCGTCTAAACCTCCCTCCAGAATGAGAATCTGTCGGATCTGATCAATCTCTAGACTACTAAAACCCCCACCCTCACCTAGAATATCCTCCATCTTATCTCTATCCCAAAGTCCCCCCGTCCAAAGATCCTTCACCTGCATGAAAGTCAGGTGAGTTACCGGCCTAGTACTCGAAAGGGGGGCCTCGTCGAGCCACCACTCATCCTAGAAACTGACCTCCCCAGAACCCAAGGTCCAAAAAATGTGCTTCTGAGCACGTCTGCCAACCAAGGTGAATCGTCTCCATTGTCGACTATCCCGAACAGTGGCAGTCACCCTGCAAGGATGGGCAGCTCCACCAGGGCAATACTTCCTAAGGAGGTATTGGGCCCAAAGGGACTTGCTGTAATGTCCCGTTTATTTGTGAAATATTTGGGATTATTTGTTTATGTATTTATTTCATAAATATTATTATTATTGGTATGTTATTATTAAAAGGCTAATTATTATTATTATTATTATTATTATTATTATTATTATTATTATTATTATTATTATTATTATTATTATTATAATTATTTGTCTAATTGTCAAATTGTTTATTATTATTATTATTAAATGTCTAAATTGCCTAAATGTGATTATGTGATTAAATAGTTAGTAATAAATATTATTTGTGTGTTTTATATATATTTATGTCCCATATTATTTTATTATCGTCCGATTATAATCGAGCCCGAGAGAACCTTGGCACCCCGCCCAAGTAACCGAACCCGCACCCAGCCCCGGTCCAGTTAAACCCACCCGGGATTTCTTCTCTCTTTTTGTTCGTGTGGTGTG